ACATAGGCAAAGTTGGACATGCCAAATATGGCATAGATGAACATGACCAGGAAGAGCAGCAGACCAATGTTGAACAGAGCAGGAAGAGACATCATCAAAGCAAAAAGCAGAGTGCGGATTCCCTTGGCGCCTTTAATGAGGCGCAGGATTCGACCGATTCTGGCAAGTCGGATGACTCTGAATAGAGTGGGGGACACGAAGTACTTCTCAATCATCTCAGCTAAGAACATACCTAGAGAAAAACAAGTTAAATCAGTAAAGTCTATTATTATATCTAAAAAACACTGCTAAAGATTTATTCTACAAGTATTGCAGAACTTTAAGAAGAATAGATATTTAAACAGATTTTTAAAAACTAGCTATTCAGTTGTTTTTACAAAGCCTTTAGAGTTTAGTATGCTCTGGAAGCTCATAAATCCCAGTTCTGAAGTTCTGAAGTAATTTGCAGGATAATGGAAAACTGTATCAAGGATGTTTTTGAGTATTAATTACATGAGAATGTATGTGAAGAGAAAAACAATTACACACCATCAATCTTTTTTTAGGGCAAACTGATAACTAGTGTATATGTATTAAAAAATGCTGAGGAATACCCTTCTGTTTAATTGTAACAAAAATAATGTCAGTTAATCTGAAGAAAGGTCATATGTACAGTACTATTAAAATGTCATGTAATCAAGTTATGGTACTCAAAGAAAACACGTATGTTTGTAGAGAACTGCAACTTCTTAATCATACATAAAATAACATGAACACAAGTTCATTATTAATGACACAGGGATTCAAATGTAAACAAACTGGTAATAAAAAGGTTTGTTAAACCTCACTGAAGAGCAGAAGAATTGAGGATTATCTTATGTGCCTCAAAGCAGAAAAACAACTACATCCTGTTTGGATATAAATAGAGTAAACCCAATTCGCATATCAAGGAGTTCTGAAAAGTTAAAATAACACAAGTTTTACTCAGGTTCTTTCAGGTTTGCTGCTCTAGGTAAAGCAAAGATTAATGGAGTTATTATTTGCTGCTTTATCTGCTTCAGCACTGCTTCTCCAGTTGCTCACTCCAGCTCAGGCATGAAACCTCCCAGGATCAAGCAAAACTCTGAAGTCAGCTAAAGGTTTTAGCTTGCTGCCTGGGCTACGTGCATGCTAGCCAATAATAGTCCCACACAGCTTTTACTCTTGGATTTTGGATTGCTGGACTCTTTCACCTGCAACTGCCACTGTAAGTTTATATAAAAATTGCCTTTCATGTATGCATAGAAGTCTCTACTGAATTCATAATAAACATCTAATTTCAACTAATAAAAAAGTAGGAATGTATGAAGTCTCTTGCTAAACAATTTCTTACCATATATTTTTCAGTTATTTTATGGATAAGACTTTCTAGTGACAAAGTTGAACCAAAATATGAATACATTTTACATGCCAAAAATATTTCTGCTTTTACAGAATGAGACATTTCATAAAAATTAATTGCTCTTACCTACTATGGAGAGAATGACAACCACAAAATCAAAAATATTCCAACCTATAGTAAAGTAGTAATGGCGAAGAGAAACCAATTTCAGGACGCATTCTCCGGTGAAAAGTACGATAAACACCAGGTTAATCCAGTATAAAATGTTTTCCATGTCTTCACTCTGATCATCTGTTTCTACCATCATTGTGACCATGTTAAGGCAGATAAGTATCATGATGCTGATATCAAATGCTTGTTTTGTTACAAAATCAAAGACCATGCCTTGGAATTTGTTCTGTTGGGGGGGTAGGGGAAAAGACAAAAAAAAAGGTATTTGAGATAAATAAGGCTTTTCTTATATAATTTCTTGTTTTAGCTTACAACTTATTTCAGCCTAAGGCATAACTGAAAAAATCCAATTTTCATACAGATGTGAAAATAACAGAAAATATTTTTATTCTTACTGCTGGTCGAGGTATAGGCTTTTGTGGTTTCTTCGAACCCAATTTTTTCATTGCATTGTAGTATTTCTTCTGTTCCTCTGTCATAAAAATGTCTTGACCTCCAAAGTAAACCAAAGAGACAAAAACTGGTTACAATCATGTATCTTTATCAATTACATAAAAATAATAGTAGTAATCACTCTTGTTCATATTTTCATCTGTGGGAAAATTTAGGACAGGTATTAAAGTCCTCTTCTATAATTTTTATCCATTAAGTAATAAGCTACACAAAGGGTTAAGTTCTGCAGCTGAAACACTGATACCTTTTGATGCAGTGTTTACAAAACACAATGACTAAAGAGTACAAATGAAGATAATACAAAGTTTTTTATTAAAGTTCAGAAATCTACACTGCTGAGCTCTGTGACATGAAGGTAGCATAGCAAAGAGTTTTTATAGCTAATTTTGCTATTTCAGGATAGACTTTTTATGAGTCCACTATAGACTCCAGCCCCAAATCTACATCTTCACAAAAATGACAATGAGTATTTCACTAACCATGGACAGACATATATTGCCAATTGTCCATCAAGCCGTCATCAAGTCATGCTGTAAGCTTTAATAATTCGATGTATTTAGTATGCAGAGCTCATATTAATTTATCATAGAAGAAAAAAAAAAAACAACTAATGAATAAAGTTTTCATGAGTGGATCAAACCCAAGCATCTGTTTGCTTTCTTTTCAGAATAATAATGAAGTACTTATCTTCTTTTTCTGCTGGTTGAAATTGTCTATGATGACACCAATAAAAAGGTTCAAGGTAAAAAATGATCCAAAGATGATAAAGATCACAAAGTAAAGATACATGTACAGGTTATCTTCATACTTAGGCTGATCCAAAACCTGCAAAAACAGAAACTAAATCTTAGTTTAACAGTGAGCACAAAATATATGCTGGATAAAATTTAGGGCTCTATCACTGATCTTTGCTTCTTACAGTCAAGTTCTGACATATCCATTCCACTGACTTTCAATCTATTTAGTTACATTCTTGAAAAAGAACTTTGCTATCAAACTTGATATCGCATTTTAAAAAATATAACTGTCCTATATGAACGTAGAATAAATACTGAGGACACAACTAATTTAAACTACTAAAGTTCCATCTGTCTGAGTCTACAGACAAGGAGAAACACCAGCATGTAAATCTGCGGAATTTTCTGTAAATCTTGTGGGAGGCCCCTGATGTGGGCCTATCAGCACTTGGGAAACTGCACTGGATTATTGAAGAGAGGCAACCAAGTCATGTTTAGACTGAGCATATTTTCTTGATCAGCTATGCACACTGGTACAGCTACAACAGGCCTGCTGTGAGTATAGCTGGAGCTTTACCAGTATAGTTTATTCAGTTGTCTACTTAGAACTAGAGAAAAACTTGGACCAAGGTAGCAAGGGGGAGGCAAAAGGGTAGGAGAATGCACGGGCTGAATTAAAAATAAGTACTGTGCCCTAAAGAAAGGAGTCAGGCAGCTTGCAGAGCACAGCAAAGTCTTAGCTTTTAAAAAAGATGAGTATTACAAAAAAACTTATCCCTCCATACTGTTTCCAAATATAAATAATTCCTCAATGCACAATAAGAGGAGGAAAAGGTGTTTAAGGCAGCAGTTAAATCTGTTGTGGGACTGAGAAATTTTGGTCCAACTGTACCATCAAGAACATCAAATCCTTTAGGATTGCTCCTCTGCTTTCCCTGTCTCTTGTATTTTTCCTATGGTTTACCATTTTCTTTGACTACAAAATTATAATAACTCCTTGTTCTCTCATTTTTACTGTTATTTCTGAAAGATGTTAAAATTACATTCTCAAATCTTGGCACTCATCCAGTCAAAACAAATGGAGTCAAGGGACTATACTTACATTACGAGAATCCACAGCTGCGTACATGATATCCATCCATCCTTTAAATGTAGCCTATACAAAGAACACTGGTGTTTACATCACACTTTTCCTGGAAAATGGCTTGTCAGAAATGTTGTTTAAGACCTGAAGACTAAGTGTCTCTAGCTCTCATCATAAAAACCAGCACAGTGCAACATTAATAGCTGACTCTTGCCTGCTATTGTATGTTTTATTCATGCACAAGAATTGCAAGCAAATTCTAGTACCTCACTATAGAGGACAGAGCATCTATTAAGAACTTTGATCTATTATGAGTAATATCTGAAGTAAAAGTTATTTTATTATGCAAGTTATTTTTTTTCAATACAGCTAAGGTGCATTAGGCTTAAATTATGTATTTTTTTTTATATTCAGCATAGACTCTAGGCCTTGAATGATTTCTGTAGAGTCATGGATTTATCCCACACTTCGTAATTCAAACTAAGAAGTGACAGACAAAATTTCTAAATTTAAAAAAAAAAATCACAACGAAAATAACTTTTTACTGTTACAAGTCAACAATAGAGATATAGAAAGAGAAATAGAAATTAAGGAGTGGTGACTTACCACTTGAAGCAGAGAAAGATAACCAAGGCCTACGTTATCAAAGTTAACCTTCACATTCTTCCACCGGGCAGTTTTATTGTTTTGTATGAGCTCCTCACACTGACTGTAGTTGTTGATTTGGCTGATGTCAAATCTCTCATCAGTTGTAGTGTTAACGCAGTAGTAAAATTTTCCAGCAAACAGATTTACTCCCATGATACTGAAGATCAGCCAGAATATAAGGCAAACAAGAAGCACATTCATGATAGATGGAATCGCTCCCAACAGGGCATTCACAACCACCTAGAGGACAAACGTAGCCAAAGAGAGACATTGTAAGAACACAGGTGTCAGCATCTTACAAATGCATGATCAGCCTTTCTTAAATGTAACTCTATTATAGTTCTAATATCTGTGTTACACTTCTATAATTGTTGAGAGGAACAAGTCAGAAAAGCAGTATAGAGAAAAGATAAAATGTCAACATAATTAGAAGTTAAAAATACAAACAGTGGCAAATGGTAGCTTTAAAGACTGGGAAAAATAAGAACAAACCAGTAAAACAAACTAAAAAAATAATCACAAAAAAAAGTGTTTATTAATTCTTTTTAGAATACTTACTTAATGTATGCCTGCAAAATCATGTCCATAATAATTATAATCACTGATTGAATAAAACCAAATTTTTTATATTACATGTTTACCATGTAAACAATTAAAATCTATTACTGAGTGAATTTTTAATTGAAATTAATTTTAAGTCTTTTTAAAAATAAAACTCAGGGATGTGTGCATGTTCATTTGGATGGTTACATATAAAATGAGAAAAGCAGCAATGTTCAAATCAGGAAACCTGCTGAGTGTCTGAACACACCAAAGCTGTTAGGGTTCAGGCAAACGGCAGATAAACGTTGAAGAAGAGACTTGATTTAATTCTCAAACAAGTTTTGGGAAAAATCAGGCTTCAGGAAAGAAAAATGTGAAAATGAGTTCATGTATAATGACGAGCAATGATTAAAAACATGCCAGAATGAAAATAAAACAGTAAGGAAAATAAAATTAGGGAGAAAGTAGGTCCATTATGAATGAGAATTATTAATTTAATGATGGAATTGATGAACCACTAAATTAGTTAATTCCTATATTCAATCTTTCTGTAAATAACTCTATAAAATTTAGTAACTGTGGAGCACTGCTGCAAACTTTGCCAAAACAACTGAATCAGATCCTTAGCCCTAACAAAGACTTTTTTTTTTTTTTTTCAAATACAGAACAGTAGCTATTACACTGATGGCATTGTTTCTAATTAATTAGTTTCTATGATGTAGGCACTAGGGCAGATCCTCTAGTATACTAAGCTAATTGTTTCTGTTTGAAATACAAACATGTAGTTTAAGCCTGTAAAGTATTTCGGTATTACAATTATATCTACTTTTAAGAGCATCCATAGATTCAATTAATTATAAAATTAGTCATCCAAGTAGATCATCTTTCATTCCTTGCTGTTTTACAGAACAGAAAATAAAATCTTTGAATATTAGGGTGGGTGGTGAGCATCACCATCACATGTTGAACTGGGCTGAAGGAAAGGAGAAATACCTCTTTTACCTTCAGGGCTCCATTCCTGCCAACACACTACCTCTTTTGGGTGATACACACAGTGGACTACATTTGAGATCCTATAGGACATCAATGAAATTGTTTTTATGTTAAATTTAGGAGCTGTCCAAACCTGCCATCCTTTTGTTTGTTTGTTTGCTTACCCCTGCCCCCATATTTTAAATCACATTTTAATAATTGGTTATTTGTAGTGAGGAAATTTAAAAAAAGATGAGAACAGTTTCTTAATCATACTAAAAATCCCCTTAGCAATACCTATTATAAATCAATAAACAAAAATAATATAGCATTTTATCACTCAGCAAGTGGGTAGAGAGGGGATTCCCTGACTGATGGATAAATCTCTTCTGACTGTTTCAACAGTGCTGTCTTATGCTGCCAGGCTTGTACTCAGCACTGTCAGTGTCATGACTGTGGAAGGCCATAAGGAGTTGTTTGATCTAAGCAAATGAATATTCTAATAACAATCCTGAATTAGTTTAAATTGGAAATTCATGAGCTCACTGATTTTAGTGGCAAGTTTGACTGGAATAATAAATGGCAAGATCATGTTTTCCCAATTTGGGGATATTTTCCAAATGTATTAGTCACTACTTTTACATAAATTTTATTTAAAGTTATCTCAATTCTTCTACCTAAAAAAATATAAGTAGATTTCTTAAATGAAGTGACATCATCCATCAGGAATAAAAGGGATAGTTAAGGAAATAAAAATATTTGTCCTCGAGCTTCCAGTTTCAGTTCACCTGAGAATTCTGTTCCTGTTTCTGCTACTCTGAAAGGTGCAATCATGTTCTTCATTCTTTAATTGCTGGATTCCTACAGGTGACCTACTTCCTCTAGTTTTAGTCTAAGTCCTGAAGTTATAGAGGACCAGCTTGAATATGAATCATTTGAAGACACTCAAAACACACAGTTGTGCATCACTGGAAAAACTGAGCCAGACGCATCCCAGCTTCCACTGGTAGTAAGGGTATGAGAAAAGAGGGCAAGTGAAAGTAGTGAAAGCATGAGAAAGACATTGAAGTGTTGTTTTCTGGTTGAAAAAAAGGTCTATGTGCCTAGCACCACATAGCAGTAACTGATACTGCTCAGGACACAGCATGGACAGATTAATTATATCCACACAGGCTATTTTCATGAAGTACCAAGTGAAAATTAAAGTGTATTCTCCCTGGCAATAATAGTCATGGGAAGATGCTGAGAAAAGATCACATTTTTCATAGGGTCAATTTTTTCCATTAATTATTAGTTTAGGCAGGCACAGGTCCTGATCCCAGAGGATAGTACAGTGGATTAAAAATTTTATATGTGTAGAATGGAATTTCCTGCTTGTATATGAGAAGTATAATCCTCACTGGAAGTAATTTTAAGTGCCTATGCCATATTTTCAGTTCATATATGTTAAACACCAATGAAATTATTATATTATGAACAGATATCTTGAATTGCCTCAGACCTTAAAATGTTCTCATACTAATTCCTTCATCAACTTCAGCTACGGTATCTTTAAAGACACTAAACCTAGAATTAATTCCTTTAAATAAGGCAACATTCATTATATCCACAGGAAAATTTCAATCGCTAATTGCTTAACTAATAAAAATACAGATCATATTTCTAGTCTGACGTTATCTAACTTTTTATTATATCTTTTGTTAATGTCATAAATCTCCTCTGTATCTGAGTATTTTAAAAAGATACAGTTGGCAGATCAGGATCCAATCAGTAGGTAAAGTTTATACCAACACAGAAGTCATGGGACTGACAATTACCAATAAACCTTCATGGCAAAGTGATTGTTTTTTCCTTGCCACAATAAATTGCTATGTAGGCAATTTACTGTGGATATATAATTTGTAATATTTTTGGTTTGGTTTTTTGCTAATCACTGTCATAAAAAAAACCCAACAGCTACTGCAGTTTTTAGTGAGACACTACTCAGGTTTTAGACAGGCCTTACTCTTCATGTAAATACCCCAAATTTTCCAATTTGCTTTAGTAAAGCTCCAGAAACGTGATGGAGGCAAGGAAATTATATTTCCTATTTGAATTTATAATGTTTCATGAAAGCCTGTCGTCTTTTTGGTTGAAGCCTCTTCTCTTACTTTCCACACACATAGAGCATCACCTTTTCTTCTCACCAATTTGTAGTTGACTTACAAATTTGCTAATCAGCTTACAGCCTGGGGTGCCAAAGATCAGTGATTGCAGCAGAGAGCTCACACAAGGATCACTTTTAATAACAGCAATAGGGTTCCAGTTCAGGTTCATCTGCTGTTTAGATCTGTGGCAGTATGTCCAGGAGAGACAGATGGACCCTAAAGGTGTATGTCAGACATCTTCCTGTGGCTGGAACTACAAACAGCTACAAATATCTACCGTCTCCAATTATTCACTACTACCCCTGAGAGAAACATTTCTAGAGCTTTCAAGTCACAGCAGAATACATAAGATATTTTCCATTTCAGTGCAGTGAAGAAGTGATCTAAACTAATCAATTTGACTTTGCAGTGGAACAGACTGAGCATGCCCCACTGGGCAGCTGAGGGGCTCAGCCGTGCTAACTGCCACGCTGCTAATGAACAGCTGGGGACAGGTTATTCTCAAATATACCCAACTCTCACAGCAAAAGCCTGATATGTTTTCAGGCTCCTTAGCGTTCCATAGATTATAATCAACATTTTAGAATCAGTATGGAAAGCAGTACGCAAACAGAAATAAAACCAGCTCAATCTCTGATATGCTAGAAAAGTTTTCTTAAATAGAATGCAATAGTTCTAATATGAAAGAGAGAAGCTATTTTAACAGTGTCAATTTACTTATTAACATACAAATTCATTATAAAACTTTTAGTTGTAACAGACATTCCCAACTAAGATCTACAGAATAGTAGGTTAAAAGATGTTTGATAGACTATGATACTTTATACTTGTAGGAAATACACATGTGCATATATACATGGGTGTATGTGCACACACTTTTAAGAGGAAGTATTGGGTTTTTTTAAACTGTTCTGACTACAGTAGGATGTATTTTTATGGGATAAATTGAATTTTGTAGTAATATTGCATAGATCCATGCAGTTCATAAATCCTTGGGCCATTCATGAAAATATGAAATAGGACGAAAGGCCAAGGAGCCGAAATAAGTGTAAAATGTGTGCAATAACACATGAATTCATATAAGCAGAGGAAGCCTTTTGCTTATATGCTAGTGATAAATGTGAAATATACAGGATGACAGTGTAGCACTTCTGCATGGATTTGCTGCTGAGTATTCTGCATGCATTGTTTCCGTGGATGCATGCACCATTTCAGTTTTTTCATGTTGTCTTACCCTCATCCCTTCAAATCGCGACAAGGCTCTTAGAGGTCTCAAAGCTCTTAGTGTCCTAAGGGATTTAATCGCACCAAGTTCTGAGTAGCCCAAGGCATTAGCTGTTAAGCTAACCAAAGAGACCTACACAAAAACAGAAAGGCAATATTGCTCATTCATCTTGTATATCCTTTTGAGACATATGGTGGGAATGATGTGTGCCCTGAACTTCTCAAGAAGATTCAAGGCTGGACCTCTTTCTCCAGGAATCCCTCTATAATGCAGAAAGATCTTTCAAGTCAGACAAAGTAGAATAAAAGTATATTCTAGGTACCTGTTGATGAAACCATGTTGGTAGAATGGTATAGAAATTGCCTTCTACATTCACATACACCAGTCAATACTTGGTGGTATTTAAAGAAAAATGAAGTCACATGCAAAAAGAAAACTCTCAAAAGCTGGGTGAATTAGAATGGCCAGTTTAGGTCAGGACTTCCCATGATATCTTCAGAACTTGATGAGAATGTAAAAGCTCTCAAAAACCACATCCAGACCTGGCCTTTGGTCAAATGTAACTTTCTAATGTCCAGAAAATCTCATTCAATATCCATAGCTACCAGTGCTGTTCACATTTAACCAGACTAATCAAGACTGAGAACCAACTGTTAAGACAGTGGTGGAAGCTTCATTGTTAGGCATATCCACACTTCATTACATTCCCTGCGATTCCTTTAACAACTTCATCAATTCTGGCTTGCATAACGCTGGTCTGGTCTGCAGGCAGATGAGTAAATAAACTAGAATAGCTGTAAAATAAATAATACAATTATCTTTCATCAATCATCCTTGGAAATGTATTTATAATAGCCATTGGGAAGGAGTGGCCCTATAAAGAAAAAATAAACTAATTCACCCTGTTTCCCTCCATTTAATGCCCTTCCCTTCCATCCTTCCTAGTCTCTCAATTCTTTCATCTCCAAATTGATCTTTTCAATTTTTTTTAATCTCAATCCCCTGACCACAGATTAAAAGGAATTCTTTGGATATTAATTTTTTTCATGAAAAAAATTGCACCAGGGTAAGGTTGCCATGAAAAACTAGTGAAGTTATTTATAAACTTCACAGAAGTAACTAAATCCCTGATTATCAATTTAGAATAAAATATTTGATGATAAATACAAGCTCTACTAGTCATGGCAATTTACACATCTAATGACTAAGCCAGTATAAAGCCAATGACTGTTTTATGCAAAGGTACAGACTCATTCACAGAATACTAAATGTGCATATAGTCATGGTTTATGATAGGATTTGCAATGCTGATATCAATTTAAAAGTTTTAATGTTTTCCAAGCTCTGTATAGTAAAGACTCCGTGACCTATCACATCATTGTAGTTTTAGGAGATACACAGCAATTCCTATAGAATTCTGCTGCTTTTTGAAATGAGCAAATAAGTGAATCAAGACACCTTCTTAGCTTGCTTTCCATGGGAATTACATCTGTGGAACTGAGAGATGCCTATTATCACAGTCAGGCTATTGGGGGTGTATCTGCTATATGGTAGAAGACCTGTAATCTTCCATTTGTACTACCCAGCACTGTGCCCATTGTTGAGCGTGTAGACTTGATATCACAATGCACTTCTCACCAGGTCTCTCTCAGACAATGTGTATCTGCTCCTTGGTAGTGCAGCCTTTCGAAAAGCATTTGAGAACCCACTCTAAGGGTGCTCATCTATGGTTCCATGAGGCATCTCTTTGAGGTCACTCACAATATGGTGAAAAGTGCAGGAGTACTGAATAGTACAATGGAACTGAGAATTCTTAGCAGTATTTTCCTTTCATATTGCACATAAGTGACAAGGCACTTACAGTAATTGATTAGAATATTAGAAACCCTTAAAGAAATTGCTTCCATGTATAGCAAAAACTGAAGAGGATCCTTTCCATATGAAAAAAAAATAAGATAGTAAAAATTATTATCCCAATAAAGCATTACAAATTCATAAAACTAGAGAATTTCAATACATCTCTAGAGTAACAAGTATATGCAAACATTTTTTCCTTTCTGAAAAGAATTATAAACCACATTTAAAATAGAGTTTTCATTAAATAGAACAGAAATCTTATCCTGAAAACATAATAATCTGATTTTTAGAGCATGAAAAATCAGGACATGAAAAAGAATACATACATCAACAATCAGGAAGTCCAGCCAGCACCATGCATTAGTGAAATAGGTTTGAAAGCCATAAGCCACCCATTTTAAAAGCATTTCCAGAATGAAGATGTAAGTGAAAACTTTGTCCGCATATTCCAGCATGGTCTTGATAGTTTTACGTTGCTCTATGTAGATATCTTCAAATGCCTGTGAAAGAGATTTTTCAAGATATAATTAAATATCTTCACAATTTGCAGTGGGGTATATAATGGCCAAGAAAGAATTTAAATTGAAAAAAACATATGTGATGATAAGGCATACATCCTTCCCTCAACTTTGGCTTTTGCTTCACACTTTTCATAAAGCTGGGTCCAAACACAATATTCAGCTTTCAGCTAAGCTGAACAGCGACATGCAAAACTTATTGTAGTATCACACTCCAAACTTAATTTGTTTCCATGGATAAAGTATTGGGCTTGTATGGCCAGGTTTTGGTAGCAGGTGGTGGTGTAAGGGTGGTTCCTGTGAGAAGCTGCCAGAAGCTTCCCCCATGTCTGGCAGAGCTAATGCCAGCTGGCTCCAGGATGGACCCACCGCTGGCCCAAGGCTGAGCCAATCACGAATTACAGTAGTGCCTCTGGGATAACATATTTAAGAAGGGGAAAAAAAGTTATTGCATAGAGATAATTGTGGCCAGGGAAGAGTGGAGTGAGAACATGTGAGCGGAACAGCCCTGGAGACACCAAGGCCGCTGTAGAAGGAAGGGCAGAAGGTGTTTCAGGCACCAGAGCTGAGGTTCCCCTACAGCCCGTGGTGCAGATCATGGTGAAGAAGCTGTGCCTCTGCAGCTCATGGAGGTCAATGGGATGCAGAGATCCACCTGCAGCTCATGGAGGAGATCCCACGCCAAGGCAGGGGGATGCCTGAAAGAGGACTGTGAACAAGCAGGAAACCCATGTTGGAGCAGGCTCCTGGCTCAGACCTGCAGCACCATGGAGCGAGGAGCCCACGCAGGAGCAGGTTTCCTGGTAGGACCTGTGGCCCTGTGGGGGACCCACACTGGAGCAACCTGTGCCTGAAGTACTGCATGCCCTGGAAGAATGACCAATGTTGGAGCAGTTCGTAGAGAACTGCTGCCCATGGGATAGACTCATGTTGGAGAAGTTCATGGAGGACTCTCTCCCTTGAGAGGGACCACAGTGGAGCAGGGAAATCTCTCCCTGAGCAGCAGCAGGAACAACCTGTGACGAACTGACTGTAACCCCCATTCCCCATCTCCCTGCACTACTGGGAGGAAGAAGGTGGAGCCTGGGAAACAGGGAGGGGTAGGGGGAAGATGTCTTTTAAGATTTATTTTAGTTCCCGTTATCCTACTCTGATGTGGTAAGTAATAAATTCAATTAATACCCCCAATTCGAGTCTGTTTTGCCCATGACAATAACTGGTAAGTGATCTCTCCCAGTCCTTATCTCAATTCATGAACCCTTTGTTATATTTTTTCTCCCCTCTCCTCTTGTGGAGGGGAGTGATTAGAGCAGCTTTGGTGGGTGCCTGGTATCCAGCCAGGGTCAATGCATTCCAGACAGCAATGGCTTACTGACACAAGGATTTCCTTTGTGTTAGCTACAAATTTATATCAAAATTATAGGAAGGATTTAAAAATGACTCTGTGATACAGTATTTTTGATGAATAATTGAAACCAAGCTAACCCACTAAGTAGAGAGAACTCTCATGTCAAAAGAAAATGTCTACAATGACAGTGAATCACTGTGCATTGAACCAAGTGTAGGAAGAATATTATATTTTGCTCCTGCTATGAGGAACTAATTACTTCAGTACTCGCTCAGTGTACCTGATTTAACACCAATTCAAGTTGCTCTTGATAAGTTCCTAGCTCAGCTGTGGTTTTATTTCAATGTTTATATGAAAAAAAGCTATTATCATCAATATGAAGGTATGTGAACACCAGCCTGATAAAACCATTTCTTATTTCCATTAAATCTAAATTTTGAACTTGCCAAATGATTTGTTCCATAGCCTGTGAGCAAATGCCAAATACTTGCTGATACATGTTTACATTATAACATTTATGAATTGGATAGCAAATTCTGATTTTTTTTCCCTGCAGCTATATGATTAACTGAAATTCTAAATGCTTGCTGCTTAAAATAGTCACAATAGTTTCACACTTAATTTACCAGAGCACCGCTGCTGAGAAGAATCATGAAGACTATGAAGGTCTCAAACCAGTTGTGTTCAACAATCTTATAGCAGGTTTTCCTAAGATTCCACCAGATTTTCCCTTTTCCATCTTCTACACTGACTTGACAGCATTTGAATCTCCGTACACATCCTAAATGTGATGATAAATTTTTAAATGTCAGAATAAGGTAAATATTTATTAGGAATTACAGTGAACAGTAGTCATTTATTTCAGCAATGCAAATAGAAATTACAACTATAATCACAGAGCTGCTTTCTGATTTTGAATAAAAACAGAATTCAGTGCAAGGCAATATCATAAAGTCTATGTGTCTTGCATATATTTTGCTTTCCCTACCTTCTGTAAAACAAGCCTCTGGCTCCAGAACTTCTTCCGGTTCTGCTTCTGGCTGTTCACCCTCTGGAGGTAGTCCAATATCAACTGTGCTGCCTTCTGATGAACTGGATGCATTTAATTTCTGTGAATGAAACCCCACATGTTTTTTGTTTTTTTTTGTTTTTTTTTTTTTCCAGTTTCAGTTATTTTGAATAGAAATTAATGTTTGAAATGCATATCAAAATATTTTGCATGTATTCAGTGCTCTGACATTAAAATAACTTCTTATCTACAATCTATAATGCCAAATTTGCTCTACTACAGGTGAGGTCACAAGATTAGAAACTACATCATGTGCATTTTCCCTATTGAAAATATTTTTATATTTTCATACAAGGAATTGCCGAAATTAATAGACTACTATTCTGAGCCACACATAAGAATTTTGAAGGGAAATTTCAGTATGTAAGGAATGAGTAACTTCCACACTTTGTACTGTTTAATTATTCCAATCATTGTGGCTGCATTTTAGATTACACTTCAGATAACATGTGTTAATAAATTTCCAACGTCATGACCAAACCAACAGCAAGCTCCACAGATGTATTTTCATGTCTCAAGTAAATTTTACTCTATCAAGTTAGTAAAAATTTAAATCTAAAAAGTTTCAATGCAAACTTTTCATTATCATTGACATGAAAACACATGTTATGAGTTGTATAGGGTAGTTTAATTCTCTCTGTTTCCAAAAGAGCAGCACATTACTTTAGGAGCAGTAGCTGATATTTTGCATTCTCACTTGCCAATGCATTTTCTGAATTTTTTGTGCATTTTAAAACTACTTATTACTGTGGTACAGTACACATAGATGTCCAATCACCATAAAAGGCCAAAAAAAATTTTTTGGAAGACTAAAGTGAAAACAAATGCTTTTTAAAACAATACCATCATAAAATAATACTGCACCAATAAATCATACCGATAATACCATCCAAACTTTAAAAATTATTATTTTACACCATCACATTATGTTGGCAACAGACAAATATGAGTACTATAATAAGTAAAAGTAGTTTGATCACAGCATTCTATGACTCTTCTAATGTTATCACTATGTGGAGTATAACATCAGTAAAATGGCTGCATTGATAAGTAGCTAATCTTATAAAGGGAATGATGTAAGCAGATTTCGAATAGAGACTACAAGGAATTAATACTAAACAGAGATGGTCCATGGTAACATTAAAGATATGTACTTTTGCTGACACTTAAATCTGAAGTTAGAGGCATTATTCCTTTAAAACATGTTTGAGAAACTTCAGGTTTTTTGTAAAGGAAATGTAAACAATATTAGTCTGTGGATACAGAAAGTAACTTAAGACTTTGGAATTTTACATTGCAGGAAATATTCAGTATGTTCTTCAAACAAAAAGAAGATTCTTTTCTTTCTCCCCCACTCTGATGCTGTTGAATCAAACTGACAATATATTATTGTGTTGTGATTTTGACATAGACTTAACTCTGATTTTGTGTACCATGGTGCACTATAGAGCACAATTTAGAGGAAGGCCAAACAAATGGAAAAATGTACTGTAGGGTGTATTATGCACTTAATTTCAGTGATATCTGCACACCCCTTTTCTCTACATTTTTTTCAAAATTCCAGCTTACATATTAATGTCACATGTCTGTGCACAAATTCTAGCATCCATGAGGTCAGGTCCAGGTCCAGTACAGAGATATGGATGCACTCCTTTCTACAGATTATTATTTATAAATTTCCCACTGTAATATGTTCAAATTATAGACAATGCATGGCAGTTTGATCATTGTGGAATACTGCCTCTAAAATTGAGAAACTGGACAGTATGGAATAAATACTGTAGTCCTCAAGTAAGGACAACAGCGTTTAAACACCAATGTAAGTCCATCATCAGTTTGAGCAAAGGCCAGAAATACCATAAATGCAAGGTACATTCCAAAGAAATGTATATATGGTGTTAAAAATTACCAGTTATCAATACAAAATTGTACATTATTTTTAAACTGAGAAGTTATTATCAGGTTTTATTATGAAATGTTTTCTTAAAATGTTGCTTGCATCATTCCAATCTGGACAGCATTTCTAGCAGAATGCTGTAGTAGCAGCAGAGCAAACAAAAATGATGAACTGGATAAACAATAAGTCTGAAAGACCTACTGTCCATTGTTTCACAAGAAAATGAAGAGTTCAGTAACTCAGATATTACGAACTTAGTTTAATAAGCACACGGGATAATGAATTCCTATTACTGAAATCATGTAAGACTAACAGTTAACACGAAAGAATTGAGATATCCACTGTAAGGAGAGATCAAAAAGATCAGATAGAAAAGGTAGAAAATTATCAGCAGAATTGTCATTTATCAGGAACATCAAAAAGCTTAATTTATGTGGGGCACTGTGTATGGTGAGTTGTATCTTACACATCTCTTTTCACTAAAAATCTGGTATGCTTCCTTTACAGAGCTGTAACAATAATCACAGGAGCTAAGCTGAACAGAAAAATTCTAAATTGAATCGACAGCAGCTGATACTTGAAATGCAACCATTAAATGTCTTATCCCATTGAGAATTCAGTTACTCTTCTGTTGATGTAACAGAGCATTTCCTCAGCATGCTGCTCTATTATACCTGAATTTAGCCCCAGTCTGAGCAATATATAAAGAGGAATATTATAAAATTATTCAATAAATTCAATCTATAATAATTCAGTATCATTTGGGGAAGAAAAAATAGAATTTTTCAACACATATAATTACTTCTTTCATTTTTCTTTGTTATGTTTAACATTGAACTTATTGTATGTCATTCTATACAATATTTATAAAATTCAGTATGCATTACAAACAGGTAGGAAGGTTTTACAATACAAAATCTTGGGGTTTTATACAATCAATTAAGTTCAGTATGCTACAAAAACTTCTCAGTAGCAATCACATATTTCCACAGTAAACATGCTCTGGCATAAAGAAACCAACACAGGGACATTGTACTGATTTCTATGCATTCAACACAACATCACCTGGAAATGGACCATGTTATTGCTGATTATGCTTTGTCCATATGCTTTACTACATAGGAAGACGATTTCTACCACTTACTGTGACTTGACAGTGTTCACACATGGAATCCAGATGGATAGCCAGACTACTCCTAATTGAAGACCCTGATATATTAAGTATTTGACATATATGCCGGTTCTTTACATTAACATATCTGAAAGTTACCTTTGTACCCGGTAAATTGTTCTCTGCTCACCTGCATTACAAAAACGGGATTTAGGCAATGGCTGTATACTGAACATGTACACAGCCTTTAAAAAAAATGAATCTGTAGAAACAAGATAATCGTCAAACCCAACCGTTAGCTTTGATCTAACAGTAAATCCCTTTTAAGCTTTTTGTTATACCATGGTTCTAGATTTCAAAAGTACTCAGTCATGCAGATTATAAGAGATTTATCAGGATCAAGCATTAGACACTCTTTGAGAGTTATGATCATTGATTTTTTTCGGAATAGAATGCTAAGAAAATTATTCTCAGAGAAATCCGTTTTTCAAAACCTTAGAATGTACATACTCCATCTCCTTTACATACATGACAGTAAGGGGACAAAAGTACTTACATGTTTCTAAAGCAGCAAAATACTGATTATGATAGAGATTTATATATCTTTTACATCACATGTACCAACAGCCTTGCCAATCATGCTTTAATCAGCAATACAGTACAGTATGAGATACAGGTTTTAGTTTAGCTTTCAAGATAGGAAAGCAGCTTGCCTATCAGAGCAGCATCACAAAAAGCAGCAGCCAAGATTAGGTCAGGAAGTTTTTTACATTATTACTTTCTGAACCTTGACAACATGTCATAGATTCATACAATTCTGCTTCACTTACAGCCAGGCCACTTTTAACTGCTAACATTTCTTTCTTTGTTTGTTTCAAAGATGATTCTCTGAAAGTAGCTGAACAGCTCTTAACTTAACATTTTTAACAAAGCCTCAAATTTCAAGATTGGCCAGGAGGCCACTAATAGCTGTTGAAATTCTCATTTAAGGGACTGAAGGAGCAAAGAGCAGAACAGACATAAGCAGGAAGATGGCACCAAGAGAAAGAACCGTTTTGGTTTTGCTTTCATTTTCCTTTCCTCCCAAATACCTGTGAAAATGTTAAATAATGGAAATTACATTGCTTTTATTTTCTCAGTGCTGTGTGGATGTCAGTATGAAAATGAGATGTTCTGTGATATAAATGGCAATATTATATCCAACTATCCCGTGTTTTTCAGTACAGCTATATAACTTATAAAACCAGTGCAGTGGTAAATAGCATTGTGATTCCCCTGGTATAATTAAGTGGAATCTGGATGTCACTCTTTCTAGTTTTGATATAGTCAGGCATACGAAGTCTATCAGGACAAAATACTAGAATGCTGTAAATCAAAGTAAAACCATTTTGTGATGATTGTTGGCTGTGAATACTGTGAAAACCCAGGATCCCTAAATTATAGCCCACTCTATACTTTACTGATATTCATAATTCCTTCTATCTACTTATTTAGGAGCATTTCAAAAATGAAAATATTTGAAAAAAAGTTGTATGAAAGCAAAAGCATTGTAAATAGCAATGGAAATATGCTCCAGGGGGAAAAGTTCTCCCACTGGAAGCTACTTAAAAAGGCTCTTTAGTTCATACAAGAAATAGTGAAAGGATATTTCTGGAACAGAGTAAGGGAATTCTGTTTGCAAAGACTAATTAAGCAAACTCCAATTAACTCTAACATTAAGAATTTAATATCATCCACTATGAATCACAATATGCCAATACAATGTGACCAATTGACAAACAATACAAAGCCTAAATTCTTTAGAGCATTAAAAGACTTTGAATAATGAATATTTTTAAATCAAAATACATCTTATCAGATAAATTATTCTGAAAAAAAAAAAAAAAAAAAGAGAGAGAGAGAGAAAAAGCTCTGCAACAAGTATGTTTTAATTCCACTAATTTACCAAACTGGAAGCAACATCATACAACTGTGGTGTTGTAAATATTATGGCAATGTTTAAGAGGTGAGATGTAAATCACACTGAAGCTGG